GGGGGGGGGAGGGGGGGGTGTACTCAGCATCAGGCATGGCTGCACCCATCAGGGGTCAGATCTGCGCCTCCCTACCACAAGGCGGGAACAGAGCATATCGGTTGTTCGTCCACCAGTATGGCACTGCAAGAAGCACAAACTGGCAACAGCCGTGTCATACACTCGACGGACGGTGATGGCACACATCCCTTTCTGGACTGCGACGACCCGCGCCGTTCGTAACGCAAGGGGGCATACACACCGTTGCCCTCTTACATCCGCCGACCGCCCCATAGACAGCTGGTCGTTGCTGCCCCGCCTTCTTCCACCCACAGCTCACCCTTCACGCTACGGTACAACACACCACCACAATTTCGGTGGCCAAGGGACACATCGACGAGTGCAGCAGCTGCAACTCTCGTACAATGCGCTCGGCCAAGAACAACACCAGAATGTATCTTGAAACGATCCGACATGATGTAGTGTACCTTCGGAGAGGGTGACAAAAAATGCCACGTACATGTACGAGACATTTAACAAAACGATGCACCCTAACGTGCGTGCACAGCGTTTCTTCGTCGCAAAGCGGGGTCGCGCTGGAAAAAAAACCATGTCCAGCATCGAAAATTTCATGATGGAGAGCCGGGAGGCATGGCACACGTAGGCGTGTGTACATAGCCGTAAGTGAGTACTGTAGTTGCCGCCCACACCGGCGCGTTGCGACTCACCGAGCAGTCACTACTCACCGAGCATGTCGGCGGCCTCGTTGATGGCGGTGTCCCTCTCCACTCCGTCATCGCCGGTCACGGCCGTGTTGTACCCTCGGAGCTGCGACCGAAACAACACGCACGTAGAAGTACCTTAATAAATTCAAAAGTTGCTTCGTAGATAGTCGGTTCGTAGATTGTATGCCCAACTTTCGTTTTGGTGGTTTCAGAAAAAGCGGGAACAGAAGCGCCTCTCACAAAGGGGGCATTCAGAATGTACGCTGTCAGATGCTGCCGTTTGTTGAACCCCATGCTGTCTTGACAACAGGCAACAGGCATGCGTGCGCCGAGGAGATTGATTGAATGAGGTGGGCTTCGGTGAGAGGAAGCGTGTCGCGTGAAGTCTGCCTGGGTTATTTCCTTAGAGCGGCTGGAAAGAGCAGTGAGTTGAATGGTGAGTGATAGACATGGATGGAAAAGAGACAGTCAGCACGAGAGAGTGGTTTGAGAGAATATCGAAATATCCGTCCCACACTTGGCGAAGAGATCTTCTATAGACATCACAAACGGTGTTTGGGCTGCATACGCAACTTCACAGTAGCCCAGCCGGGGTTCGGACATGGTGCCCGTTGTTTGCAAGTCCAGGTTGAGGGCACAACCTGCAAAGCCCGCGAGGACCTTGCCAACAACGAACGACATTCCTTCCAATACTGCTAAAGCCACACCACCACCACGAAGACTACGGGAGAACTCGAGAATGCAGCTCATTTGCTGATGTCTACCCAAGACCCACCTCATGAATCGGATCTCCCACGCCACCAGGGAACACACACCGACAAGGATCTTTGTCCATGTTTCCCCACCGTAATTATTTGGGCATCCGAACCGACCCCTACCCCCCCCCCCCCCCCCCCATTTCACGTCGCCGCTATGTACCCTCCAAATTCACCAGTAGCTCGGCTGTCGTGCCCCCTCGGTCGCTCCTCCGTGATTCTCACTCTGCCTGCTTGTGCCCTCTGTTTGATTCTCATCTCTCAACTCTATTTCTTGAAACAAAGACCCCACTACCATGTCTGGCTGGAACGCTTACGTCGACACTCAGCTGGTAGC